GCGGCTTACAAACTCCTCTCCCTTCCCCTCCCCACAACAGACACCCTGTGAGGTGGGTGGGGCTGAGAGAACTCTGACACAAACTGCTCTTTTTCAAGGACGGCTGTGCCAGAGCTTGTGACTGACCCAAGGTCACATCAGCAGGTGCAAGTGGAGGAGTGGGGAATCAAACCCGGTTCTCCCAGATTAGAGTCCGCACACTTAACCACTACACCAAACTGGCTCTTTTTCTTGGTTGCTATTGACAAGACACAGTTGGTTAAAGGAAGGCAGATTAAAGTTGCATGACTATGCATACTTATTTGGAAGCAAATCCCAGTGAAACCAGCTAGCTTACTTCTGATAATTATGGTCACATCAGGCTGCATATGTCCTCCTCACCAGAATAGTTGGGGAGTGGAACCAACTGTTAAAAGACTTTAAAAAGAAGATGCAGTAGTACTAGTCAACTATACATGAAATCCTTGGGAGGAAGGAGCCCTTTCCAACCAGGATTTCTCCTTACATTTCACTACCAGAGGATGGAGTGATAACTACGGGAATAAACAGATTTAAAAGGGCATTAGAGAGATTAATGGAGGATAGGTCTATCACTGGCTTCTAGCCATGGTGACTGACGGGAACCTCTACATCCAGAGTTACTAAGCCTACGAATCCCCATGCCAGGAGGCATCACCATAGGAAGGTCTCAGCCTCTGTGCCGTTGTTGGCTCCCCAGAGGAACTGGTGGGCCATTGTGTGAGACAGGATGCTGGACTAGATGGACCACTGGTCTGATCCAGCAGGGCACTTATGTTATTTTCTACTCAGCTACTTCTGTTCATCAGTTACGTAAATACAAGCAAGGAGAAATACCATTGTGAAAGAGTCCATCTGGTATTTTGAGGTCCATAACTCAGAACAGTTATACATGTTCTTTCCATATTTGTTTACATCAGTGAAAATAGATATCCTTGGACATAGGAATCCAGATTAAAATCTTATTTGCGTTTCCAAGAAACAAATTCCCCAGATTTTTGTTCCTGCTTTTAAAGCCTCTGAAACTAGAAGACTGGTGCTTTGAGACTATAAACTCCTTAGTATATGACAAAATCTTTGATATAACTATAAATTGAAAGACGTTTGAGTCCAGTGGCACCTTTAAGGCCAAGACATTTTTATTCAAGGTATAAGATTTCTTAAATCTATAAATTGAAAGGATATAGATTTTTGAAAGAGCTTGAGGTAACAACACAGTGTAATCTTAAAAAGAGTTGTGTGTATGCTAAGTGCCATCAAGTTGCTTCTGACATATGGTGACCCTATGAATTAATGTTCTTCAAAACGTCCTGTTGTTTAATAGCCTTGCACAGGTCTTGCAAACTGAGGGCCGGGGCTTCCTTGATTGACCCAGTCCATCTTATGTTGGGTCTTTTCCTGCTACTTTCAACTTTTCCTGGTATGACACCCTTTTAAATCCAAAGACGAAGAAGAGGAGGAGCAGGAGGAGGAGGAAATTGGATTTATACCCCACCCTTCACTCAGAGTCTCAGAGTGGCTTATAAACTCCTTACCCTTACCCTCCCTACAACAGACACCCTGTGAGGTAGGTGGGGCTGAGAGAGCTCTTTCCAGAACTGCTCCTGAGAGAACAGCTCTGACAGAACTATGGCTTGCCCAAGGTCATCCAGCAGCTGCAAGTGGAGGAGTGGGGAATCAAACCCGGTTCTCCCAGATTAGAGTCCACACACTTAACCACTACACCAAACTGTAGCCCATGAGTCTCTTACCCATGCACTCCAATAAATATTCATTTTATCTACAATGGCGAAGTAGAAACAAGCTCTTCCAAAAGCTCACTTCTTCTTGATAGCCACCCAAACTGCTAGCATTCATCTTCATGTTTTAACTCAACTTGTTCATTTTTGACAGATAAAGTTGGACATGCCAGCCCTAAAGCCACTTTAAGGAGAGTTCTTATTTCGATGTGATCTCACAGATCTTCTCAAGGGACCTGACAAACACAAATCCTCCCCAGTGTCAGGAAATGCATTTTCTCTGATCAGATCTTAATTTGTGTGGACACGTGGGCCATTGGGCTTGAAATTGGAAAGAGACAACAGAGCAAGTGAATGTGCCACCCAAAGGACATCAACAATTGCATCAGAGACAAGCAGGCTGGCGTAAAACAGATAAAGGATAAATTTTTAAGGACCACCCTCTGGGTTTTAGTCACAGGAGACTCCAAGATAATGTGCACAGCTTTTTGGTACATGCATTATTGAAATGGGTCTGTCTAGCTTTGGAAAACACAATGTTCTCACCAAAATAGCTGATGAAAATCCTTACCTAACCTTGACTCATTTTAAACTAAGGTTTTAAATTCCTACTCTACTGCAGTGAGATAAATGCTCTAGTCATTTTATGAGCCCAAAGGAAAACTAGAATAGTACTACTTGACAGAAGGACTGATTCAAAATGGAATCATTAGCAAAAACACTGCAACACAGTCATTGTTTGTTATTTTTTTATTTGTAATGGTAGCTGTCCCTGTGGAAGGCTAATACTGCTGCTTTGGGTTTTCTTGCATGAATGTGTGTCAAACATGGAAATTTTAATTTTAATGCTCATGAAGAAAAAGAAAAAAACATCCTTGATTTATGTTTTTTGCACATATAGGACAGAAAAAATTCTGCCAAAAATAAAACGGTGTCCATGTTTAACTACTAACAATATGTACAGAGCAGCCAATTATTAAAATTGTTTGAACCTACAAATAATAACTCACAACATCCACAACACTGCACAATCATCACTAAGTATGATTCCTCTTCTGGGTCGCTATGTGTAACGTTAGCTGGTTGACAGTGGTATAGTGCTGAGCCATTTATCTTAATTTTATATGCATTATCTGATTCTGTTGTTTTCAAAGATTTTTTTAAAAGATGTTGTTTAAATGTTATACATTGCCGCAAGATCTTCTGGGTGAGTGGTAACTTTAAAAATCTAATAAATACATACACAAATAAATGTATTCAACAAGCATTAATTTCTTATGCTTACATGAATGCATCACAGTCTATGATAATAACCCTTCATCTCAGTCTCTGCATGATTTCTCCCTTTTTTATTGTTACCAGAGCACTAAGTGCAGTTGCTTGAATTACTTTCAATTGGTGCAGCCCAAGTATGCGAACAAATTTCTTGATGGGTGCCACTATGGAGATCATATCTTGACAGTATTAGCACAACCTGGCTTCCTATTTGCTTCTAGGTACAGTTCAAATTACTAGCGACATTTAAAGCCCTAATTGGTTTGGGAACAAGATATCAAAAAGACTAGATAATATTTTTGTGACTGTAATTGTTTTTGATATGATATCAGCCACCTTGTAAACCAAGGCACTGTGTACATATTTTAAAATAAATGTCCTTTCCCCCGTTTTTTAATATCAGCTGATTTTGCAATTGTCATCTCACTCACTCAGCTGTAGATAACTTTTTCTTTTTGAGGAGCTGGAGAGGAAGGAGTTATTTTTGACTTTGTACAACCTTGCAAGTTCCCAGCTCCTGTCCTTTTGTCTTTATATTAAAGTTATTGTCGTGTTTTGGGATGCATTACTCTGTTTACACATATATTTAAAGATAAAACAAGGGTTTCACAATCCTGAGAAAGAGGCTTTGCATATGTAGAAGAAACATGGAGATGCAATACACCAACTGTCCTCTGCTAATCAGAAAAGGAAACACATAGTAAACTGAACTGTAACAGAAAAACTGATTTATACCCAGTCGCACCTTAAAGGCCAGTAAGTTTTGTAGGGTATAAGCTTTCAAGAGTATGACGAAGGGAGTTTTGACTCTTGAAAGCTTATACTCTGGAAATCTTGTTGGTCTTTAAGGTGCTAGTGGACACGAATCTTGCACAAATCTTGGTCTTCTACTGTAGAGCAACACAGCTACCCACCTGAAACGCTCTTCATAGAAGAAATGATGTTACATACACTATTCTGCAAAGACTTATAAAAAATCCAATATATAACAACTTAGGGTGGCATCCTAAACAGAGTTACAGCCTTCTAAGTCCATTGGTCAACAGGCTCAGAAGAATAAATTTCTGTTTACAATTCATATTGTTATCTCAAGGTCAAAAGCCTGCATTTATCATCTCCTCTAAACACTTATGTCCTCAGCTAGTGAACAAGACTATCAACATTAGAAATGAGGGTCATGTTTTGATGGCAAAATTTATTGATGCCAGAATTGCATCCGCTATGCAGGAAACACCAGAAGATATTTTTAAAATGATTAAACGTCTGAAGCCGCCAAAGAAAGCCAGACATCAGCAATGAATAGGCCCCGCTGCCAGGTGCTGGTAGGAAGCCCCCCCCCCCCCCATGATTGTGGCCTTAGTTAGGGAACAAATAATTGTGTAAGCCACTCTGAGACCCCTCGGGGTTCGAGCGGGATACAAGCCGAAAGTATAAATAAATAAATAAAATAGCAAAACTCAGAAAAAGAATGCTCTCTCTAAGATCTCCTTCCAACTCTACGGAATGTTTTTCATATTTTTTTAATAATACTTTTGCCTTTTTATCTCTTCTTTAAATATACAAACAAAGGTCTGAAAATGGACATTAGAAAAATGTAGGCTGCAGTGTTGGCAAAACTACAGCATGAACCAACATGGTGTAACAACCCTTTGTTGGTTGATGGATGTCAATCTATATGACAGGCTTGAATTCCCTCTTCCAAAGACTACAGAATGCCTGACTGCTTCAAATATAAAGGGATTTTTTTTAAAAAAAAACACTTGGGACTGGAAAAGTTTTATTTAAAAAACAAATATCAAACTATCTGGATGACTTTTTTCTGTTTAGGCCCTTTTTAGCACTAGTGGAGAAGATCGATTCTTACTCATACTATTAGCCATCAAAGTGAAATCCTGAAAGGGACAATTCCTGGTCCAGTAAGAAAGCACATTTGTCATTCACCATTGTGCAAACCTCTTTAGCTCTTACCAAGCTCTACATCCTGATCATCTGTGAGGACGAGAATGATGTTTGGACGGATATTCCTGCGATCTCTTTGAAACCTTCCTTTCAGACGCTGATTTAACAGGAAAGCTGAACTGTCATCCAGCAAGGATAAAACAGTCATTACAAATAATCCCACGACAATGCTATGCTGTGCCATATTGCGCTGATTTTGCATGCTCTTCAAACAAAGGTGAGGGGATGTTTTCTATTTCCTCTTCAAAGGCAGATCTGATAGGGCAAAGAAAAGAAGGAGGAGGTTAATATGCGTGCAACATAAACATCATGAAAAATGGGTTTAAGGAAAACAGATCACCAAGTTTCTGGCAATTACAATATAACCCGAATCAGAGAGACACTTGTCTAAATCCAGGCTAGTCAATAGGTTTAGAATGGTGTGGTTTTGTTTAGGAATAATCCCAGTGTATTGAGGAATCCTATACCCTCTACCATTCACTTGTACACACTAGAAGGAGACTATTCACAGACAAATGAAACATGGGAGTTATTGTAGGGTTGCCATTTGTCTGGTGGGAGTGGGGATCCCCCGATTTTGCAGGCTCCTGCTCTCCAGTGGCCGGCTGGCTGATGGGAAGAAATCCCCCCCCAAACCCCTGAAACAGTGGTGATGTCACTTCCCTCTCCTGGAATGTTCCCCCCATCCCCCCGCCAGTGGGTGAAAGGGACCTGGCAACCCTAGAGTTATGTTTGTGTTATCTACACAGTATAAAGCAAAGGTCCCCAACCATGGCGCCCACCAACACCTTTCCTGGAGCCCACCTAGTGTTTTTACACAATGGGAGGAAGGGATAAACAGGGAAGATACCGGCAAAATAAAGACAGATACTGCCAGATGTGGGTTTCTTAGCTAGCTGAGTATGTATATTTATTTTGTGTGTATGCAAGAAAATACTTTTAAACACTATGTTCATTTTAAAAGGCATCTTGTGGAACAGAGCTTCTGCCTGAAATGCTGAAGAGTTACTATCAGACTTATGCCCATCCTCATTCCATGACATTTGTGACTGGCCCCACCCCCTGTGGCGGCCATTTTACAGTTGCATTCACCACCCTGTGTCAAAATTCCAAAGGTGCCCACTGGTTCAAAAAAGGTTGGAGACTCCTGGTCTAAAGTGTGTGTGTAAAGTGTATGGCTGGAAACATTCAGTGAATTCCTTGCACATAGAGAGAGAAGAGAGTGGATTTATACCTCACCCTTTACTACCCCCGAAGGAGTCTCAGGGCGGCTTACAATCTCTTTTCCATTCCCCTCCCCACAACAAACACCCCATGAGCAATGCTCCCTCTAAGCTGCGGAGTCTTGTGAGCAAAAATTCTACATTGTGAGCTGCCGGCAGTAAAGTTGTGAGCAAGCGATTTGGCTACTGCATAAATTAGTTGGCATTGGAGCCATCCTTCCTGAGCTAAGACAAAAATGCGTGAGCCAAAGGCTAAAAAACTGTGAGCTAGCTCACACTAACTCAGTTTAGAGGAAACACTGCCCGTGAGGTAGGTGGGGATGAGAGAGCTCTCCCGAGAGCTGTCCTTGAGAGAACAGCTCTGCAAGAACTTAGAACTGACCCAAGGTCACATCAGCTGGCTTCATGTGGAGGAGTGGGGAATCAAACCTGGTTCTCCCAGATTAGAGTCCACACTCCTAACCACTACACCAACCTGGCTAGGCTAGCACAAGTCCACTGCATGTCTTGAAATGTTTTGAAAACAAGAATCTCTCCTTTAAATGCTCATCATAGCAAACAATTGTTCAGTATAGAATGCACACAACTGATACACATAGTATAAGTTTGCCATGAAGAGTTTACCAGTCACAGCATTTAAGCAAAATGCATCTTTAGCATGGAAATTTAATGTATAGAGCAAACGTATAGAAACTATGTACATTTCTCCTTTTTAAAAACCACCAGTGTTAAAAAAAAAAAATCCTGTGTCTATTTAGTTTTCTTATATGGAAAATAAAACTTATCAGTCCTGAATACAGATTATAAAATAAGGCAAAACTGAAGTAATTGGCTACTTAGGTTTGACAAACCATAAATTGTCTGCACAAACAACACTTTAGGCAGTAAAACACCCTAATCACCTAACATTGCATTAATTGAGCATCAGCCTCACACCAAATAGATCCATTTCTCCTAGTTTTCCACAGAAAGTATGCCCACTCACACCACAACTGAATTTTGTTTTTCCAGGGCATGTGTAACCTAGGATTAATTTAGTACAGCCTTACAAAACTAATCCTGAACTTCCTGGCTGTGTGGGTGGATATTCTGTGTTATGTCAACATTGTTTGGGTCATTTTCTCAGGGCTCTTGGTTCATTTTAAGGAGACAAACCACAGAGGTCCCACCCCGAACATCATTTCACTAGCTGTAACTACCCGTCCCTAAACCGAGAGGCAGCAAACAGAATTCCCTAACCCCATCCTCTCGCTGAGCAGATGGTAGGGTCGCCACCTTTTAACCTGACAAATTGTGAACAGACCAGTCTTTCTTCGAGTTGGTGAGCTAAAGGAGTCCAGCCACAAGGGGACACAAATCACTCTGAGGGAAACTTTAATATCTGACTCGCTGAAGAAGATCATGGCTCACAGTTTCATTTTAACCTACTCTCTGCTAACCCCTTTCCCCCCTTCCTCTAGTGCGCAGTGTTGTTTTGAGTCTACCTAACCCATAACCTGTGTTCTCGACTCTTAGCACTCCCACAGGTTTCCTCATCCATCTTTCAGTTACCCCGTTCCTGAAATTTCCCTACTCACAGACCTCTCTGCTGACTCATTCCTTAGTTTCCCCCTTTCCCTCTAAGCATACCCCCACAGGGCTCTCTTGACTGTGGAACACTGTGCCACAATTCTCTCAGCCTCTCAAGCTCTCAACAGAAGAACTCCAGTGGCACCTTTAAGACTAATAAACGTTTATTCAAGGTATGAGTTTTTGTGTGCATGCACACTTTTAAAAATATATATTTTCATATATTCAAACACAAAAAGTATTTGAAAAAGTGTGCATGCACACGAAAGCTCATACTTTGACCTTGAATAAACCTTTGTTGGTTTTAAAGGTGCCACTGGACTCTAAATTTGTTCTATTGCTTCAGACCAACATGGCTGACCACCTTGAAGCTCTCAGCAGCTCTTTCTTCCCAACCCCCAGCTCCACCATATGCTTGGCACCTCTCTTTATTAATCTTTCATCATTTTAAAATTTTTATTTATTTTCCCACTTATCCCCCGCCCTACCCCGCCGAATCATCCGGTCTTATCTCTAGACCCCATGGCACATATACAAATACCCTATCTCTTACATCCCCTCTCTTCTCATTTCCCATTCCACTGCCCTTTTCTGCACCACCTCTCCTTTCCTCCTTTCAGTCACTATGTTTGCTGCTTCCTCCCTATATACTGCTTTGTTTCCACTTCTCTTCACACATATTTAGATATTTATGGCCTGCTTTCTTCCCCAATGGGTACCCAAAGCAGCTTACAGTAAAAAACATATATTTTTATATATTCAAACACAAAAAGTATTTGAAAAAGCGTGCATGCACACGAAAGCTCATACCTTGAATAAACCTTTGTTGGTTTTAAAGGTGCCACCGGACTCTAAATTTGTTCTACTGCTTCAGACCAACATGGCTGACCACCTTGAAGCTCTCAACAGCGCTTTCTCCCCAACCCCCAGCTCCACCATATGCTTGGCACCTCTCTTTCTCTATTAATCTTTCATCATTTTTTAATTTTTATTTATTTTCCCACTTATACCCCGCCCTACCCCGCCGAATCATCCGGTCTTATCTCTAGACCCCATGGCACATATACAAATACCCTATCTCTTACATCCCCTCTCTTCTCATTTCCCATTCCACTGCCCTTTTCTGCACCACCTATCTCTCAGTTCTCCTTTCCCCCTTTCAGTCACTATGTTTGCTGCTTCCTCCCTATATTCTTCTCTGTTTCCACTTCTCTTCACACAGAGTATATTTAGATATTTATGGCCTGCTTTCTTGCCCAATGGGTACCCAAAGCAGCTTACAGTATCTTTCTCTCCCTCTGATTTATCGTTATAACAACCCATGAGATAGGTTAGGTTGAAAGAGAGAGACTGGGCTAAGTGACCCACAGCAGAGCAGGGATTCAAATATGGGGCTTTCAGATCTTAGTCTGGCTCTCCGACCACTACATCACACTGCCTCTCAGAGTCTGCAGTGCAACCACACGCAAGGAGTTCACTCTTCTAGAGATTCATTTCAGAGGATTCTCAGACACAAAGGAGACATGTTTCACAGCTGGCTGGAGGTTCATATCTCTACACTCTCTCTCTCACCAAACTTATATCAAAGGGTCATTGCAACAATGAAATGGAGGAAGGGAGAAGCATATATGTCACTATGAGCTCCTTGGAGGAAGGGCAAGGAGAAAACATAACAATGAGACATGTTAATTTTTCTACTGTTATGGGCAGAGCCTCTAACATTGCATTATGAATGGAGGACAGTATTATATTGGAAGTCAGGAGTATCCTAATTAAATGGTCACGTCTATGGCACAGACTCCTCACTCATGCCTTACGGCAACACAGAATTCAAGAAACCTAGAGAGATGTAGTGGTTAGTGTCAGGTTAGGAGACCCAAGTTCAAATGCCCACTAAGACACAAAGCATGCTGGGTGACCCTGGGGCAGTCATTGCCTCTTTTAGTAATAATGGCATAAAAAATTGAATAGTTTTCAGGACCACAAATGGAAGTTGTAGGAGTTTACTCAAAAGCAGATTCACTGTGAAATGAACTCAGACTGCCGCTTAAATGCACTTAAAGGCAAACTTGTAACAAGCCACTGTTCTTTGCACTCAACAGATGAGGGAGTAAAATATTAGGAAGAAATTTCAAGAGAATTTTCAAAGTCTCCCATTCCTTCTCTTAAAAATTGGCCCAGCATGTAGGTGTATGCTACTCACCATCAGCACAGTTCTCATTCAGAGCTCCCTACTGGAGGAAGCTGTCATAAAGAATGCAAAGAAGGGTGCTTCACTTCTGCAGTTTTCCCAGTTTTGCTTACTTATCCTATTCCTAACTTTGACAGGGCACAGAGCATAAACCAAAGGCAAGGCAAGCCAAGTTAACGAAAGAGTTAATGAGG